AAGTCAGATTAAATGGTCGAAATATGAATAATTCATGAGAAACTATAAGCCTCCATCAAATTTCGATCTAAAATTTATAAAATATTAAAAAGTAGTATGATCAAATCAATGCTATATTAAGCCCGACTTTCCTTCCCTCCAAAATTTAAGTTCAATCATCAAATTTGATTATAATTACTCGCTCTTAATTCTGGCTTTGTCATTTAACCTTCTTTTTTTTTTTACAATGCTTTGTCATTTAACCAAAACATCCCTAACAACCCACTTGTAAAATAGGTTGGCTCATAGTCGTACTCATACTGATATCCCAGCAGTAATAATCTTTTATCATATAAAGTCCCATTATCTAAGCCCAAATTGGGTTCAGTTCTATGAGTATAAGCATGTAAAAGTGGAAACGCTTGCAGCACAATGGAAACATCAAGTTCTGGAGAATGATCGGGCTCTTCTGCTGGTCAATTCGGGCGGCAATGGCACAACAACAATCCAAGGCTCCAACCATTTCATCTCTTTCCTCCATGGCGGATTACGTTGGCTCGTTCGATGCAGGTACTCGATTAGGGGGAGTCTGGCTCTGCAGCTTTTGTTCTTCGCCACGCTACTGGAGCTTTCGTTGCGGTAGAGGCATCTCGTTATGAATGTTGCCTGCTCTAATCCTTACGTTTTAGAGGACTTGGCTCTGCGGGATTGTCTTCATGAATGTTCTCAACGCAGGTTGATGAGTATTTGCATTCTATGGTGATGCTAAAGTGCTTATATAGACAAATGTAGAGCAGGAGAGACAAGTGATTCGAAGATTGGGGCTTATGCTATAAGAGATTGCATTGCTTCTTCAGGATATACTAGCAGCTTCAATTCATTTCGTTGGTAGAGCTACTAACAGAGCAACTCATTCGATAGCGCGTTATGCTCTGGGTTTGTCGCCTCGGCTACTAGGGAGGTTTTGATTTTGTTACTTGGTTACATAGTAGATACTCGATAGGGTCTTTGTATTTGTAAACTTTGTTCCACCTCTTATTGAGAGGAATCTATTGTGGGTGGGGTGGGGTGGGGGGGAATTCCAACTTTCCAAGAAGGCGAAGTCGTGGGCCATTTAGTTTTCTGATCCAGCCCAATTAAATGTACAGCTAGGAGTCCAACAGCCCAAACCAAAGACGCAGGTGCTGAATTACTTTGCTCGACATTGGACCTCACCTTTTAGCCCATTTTTGTAACATCTTAGGTGAATCCCATATCGACAAAGCACGGAAGAGATCCATGGTTCATAATTAAGAAACTGACATTAACTGACAAGATACGTTTTGGGGTGAAATGGAGGAGTTCTTGTGAGAACTCCAAAGTTAAACGTGCTCCGTGTGGAGTACAACAAGGATGAGTAATCTTATGGAAAGTCACATTGAATTGCACCCAATGTCGAAAACCGTGAGGGTTGAGGCCCAAAGTGGACAATATCTTCGTCGGGAAAAGGTTCGGGACGCTACAAGTGGTATCAGAACCTCTCCGCGTCCCACTTGAACGATGGTGGGGCACCTTATGAGAATTGAGACCCAAAGCCGACAATATTTTCGTCGCGAAAAGGTTCAGGGATTGTTACAATTTTCCACATTTATTTGGTCAGATCAAATGCCTAGTCGCCTTTTTACTTTCCTCCATGAAAGGAGCATGTTGAAGTAGTGTAAAGTGAGTGAGGCATGTTTCATGTTGAAGTAGTGTAAACGACTGATAAAGATTTCGAGAATTGAGTAACGCGCATCTTTTGGTTTCTGCCACGTGAGCCAAGAAGAATGGCAGGAACCATCAGTTGATTGGGGGATAAAAATGGAAAAGCTTATGATCGATCATGTTCTGCTTTCTAGAATGATTGGATGATTTCGGGTTGTTGATTAGAACCAACCAACTAACCAGATTAAATTGACCGGCCCGTTAAATCTCCATCATCGGCGGTTGGCGGTCAATCTCGTGCGATTAGGCGGCTTACGAATTACGATACTGATGATTTTACACCTACCTAGGTTGCAGAAGTTTGGATTAGCGGGTCAGCCACGGGGTATGATTATGACCGCGATTAAGCTTTAATTAATTGACCACCTAATCACTGGCTTCCGTTTTTTCCCGCTTCCCAATCATGATCTCATTTAACAGATTTTCTTTAAAAAAAAAAAGAAAATTTTTGTGGGAGACTCGATATCGTGAAGTGTTAAATTTGGGTTCGTCCCATATTCTAGATACTGATTCAAAAAGTAAAACGGCGTTATTTTGTGTTAAACTTAATAATATGAAAATTATGAGTTGGTTGAATCTTATTACAATATTACTCTTTATAACAATATATGGATAATTCATGAATGTTTATAGAAATTGTTATAGAACAATTCAAGTACCAAATCATTAGTACAAGGGAAGAGATTCTTGTATATAAGTGTCCAACAAGCTTATTAGCACGAGGCCTTTTGAAGAGGATACTCAAAAGTAAAACTGTGCGGTTTGGGCAAAACCGGACATTATCGTACTAACTAATGGAGCTATCCGATTTCGACAAGTGGTATTCGAGCCTAGTTCGGTGAATTCGAAGCGATGGATGTCAAGTTCGGTGGACCCTCATTCGATGATCTCGGAATATGAGATCTGCATCTGTTTGGTGGATCACGGGAGGTCCGCGTGTGCCTGGTAGATTCAATTGTGATCTGCATATGGTTTGGCGGATCAAGATAATTCCTAAGGAGATGACACAAATTTTTTAGTCCTTGTCTCAAGGGGATGATTGCTATGAGACAATTCAAGTACCACTTCAGTAATACAGGGAAGCGACCCTTGTATATTAGTGTCCACCAAACTCATTAATACGAGGCCTTTTGGGGATGATACACGAAAGTAAAATCATACAGGTTTGGCCCAAAGAGGACAATTCGTAATAATGGAGCTATCCGATCTCAACTTAAATATTTTTTTGTAGGATTTTTTTTGATGATATTGCGATGTAGGTGTTCGAAGAAATAATGTGTAGTTACGTTTGTGAGCCTTTGAATTTGATTTTCTCTTATAAAACTCAGTAGATATTTTTTGGATTTTTTTCTTGGTATACGCCAAGGTTGTCAACCCGATTTATCCCATTAGTGCAGTCGAGTAAGTGGGTTGAGCGTTAATGGTCCGATCACTTTAGCCAGTTTAGCTCAGATATATGAGAAACATTATTGTTATTGTTAATATATTTATAAATTATATCAAATCTCATGTAATATATGGGTAATACGTAATAACATATAACATCCATTTTCAAATGTTCAATTTAGAATTTCAAATATAGGATTAGGCGAAGGAAAAACCCTGGAAAGAAGCGCAATTCACAAACTTAAGATAAAAACGATGACATATAACCTCCTATTTGAAAACCAAGCTGCGGGTCGATCCACATATATGTTGCGCATGTTTTAATCACCGTGTCATGGTCAATATCTGAGTCGACCCGCTGATTGACAAGCTCTACAACAGTAAATTCCACAACCGAATCATGTATTTAATTATTCTCCGTTACATCATCATCATAATAACATCGTCCAAACTTTTCATCTTTGTTTATGTTTCGGCTTAACTTGTACACTAATGAGTAATGGCTTAGAATTAGAACAACCTAGTCGTTGCCCATAATAAGCATACCGATTAGGGAAGCATCTTCTTGGCAATTGCAACATTGCTGAATTGGACTCAGCAAAGTCCCTTTAATCAACAGTCAACCACCAAACCTAAGCTATTGCTCCTTCCATCCCCCTATCGATTTTCCAATTCCCACCCATCATTCATCAGTTGCTTGTCTACTTTTTGAATTTGGTTGGCCTACTTACTGTATCTTTGTCTTGTCTTTGATTGTCATTATTTAACAAAAGATTAGTCGACTGCATATATATATATATAATACACACACACTAGATTAAAAACAATGAAGGTCGTTGCAATTAATCTAAATATAGTAGCTAATAGTTTTAATTCATCATAATATATCAAAGTACATCTAGTAAGTGTGAAACACGGCACATGACATTCGCCAAACGTATGCTAGTCTGTCATATATATGTATATAATTGTCGAATGAACAATTGTATTAGATCATCAGAATGAAAAACAAATCCTACCAAAATAGGGTTTAATGAAAGGGTGTTGTTTGCTACCAAATGACCAACCTTACTACTACTATAACCAATGAAACAAACACAAAACCGCATAAACACTCCACGAAGGCTCAAAATCTCATCGAGCATTCCAAGAACATTTGTCTATTGCCCCTCCTGAATCTTGTCAAACACCACCTTCTCGAACCCCGATATCGATACTCTAGCCACAGAATGATGATGGTAAATGAATTTATTTTTTTGTAAGATAAATTAATTAATTTAATCATACTATAGCTAATTGCCAAATTGAGAATAACTGATATGGATTATATATAAAAAAATGTTATAAAGAGATTAACTAAGACTCAATGATAACCTAAATATAAAATACCTAAAAAGGGTAACCTAAATGGAAGACTTACACCCACCCAACAAACCGAAGTCCATCCCATTGTCTATATTCAACTCAACTCACATTGTCATGTCAAGTTTTGCCTATCCACAACAATAGGGTAATCTACTAGATTTCTCAGGTGAATTATTTTAGGAATGAACTCTAAAATTCCTAACAAGCGTCCATTATTTTCTAGTAGTTGAGAAATGAGAGCAGAGATATACAAATTCCTATTTTAAGTGGGCTACAGAATTCTGGATTTCATTATTTAGTTCTTCATAATATAGAGACAGAGAACCAGAACATATCTTTTAATTTTAGGCCATATAATTTGTGTATCTTCCTGATACATCCAACTAAATAATGAGAATTTTTACTACAGAAAAAAGATCTTATACGAAATTATTATAGTTCATATGTATCTTATTAGTAGATCGCTCGAAAATTACTAAACGAAGTTCGTCTATAGACATTCTAATTTGATATGCCATAAATTCACTAGAGTCACCTATTTGCTAGAACTTGCCATTATCGATACATCATAGGGCCATTTTGGAATCACATTTTGGTCACTCAAGAAACATTTTCCCTCTTACTTCTCCAACACATTAGCCTCTCCTACTTCACCCCAAGATCATTTGCCCTCCAACACATTAGCCTCCCATTCTTCATCTCAAGATCATTGTCCCTCATCATTTGTCTCCATCATCTTCACAAAGATTCACCACTTAAATACCAATCATGGGTAAACTCCCATCTACCCACATTATTCACCATACCAATTCTTACCTCTTAGAAATTAAACCACTAAAAAAATGACTACCACCATAATCACTCTCACCTCACTATCCCTTCTCCTCCTCTTTCATCCTCTCCTCACCCAATCCCAACCCGGTCGGACCAATCCACCTTCCCCGGCAACCCAGGGCCAGTGGCGGCTCCTCCAGTCAAATTTGGGCATCTCGCCAATGCACATGCAACTCCTCCACAACAACAAGGTGGTCATGTTCGACCGAACCGACTCCGGCCGTTCCAACCTCACATTCTCGGACGGTCGGTGTCGGTTCGACCCGGACGACACCCAACTCCAGATCGACTGCACCGCTCACTCTGTTCTCTACGATGTCACAACCAACAAAATTCGACCCCTCACGATCCAAACCGACACCTGGTGCTCCTCCGGAGCAGTCCTCCCCAACGGCACTCTGCTCCAGACGGGCGGCTTCCACGACGGCGACCACGTCGTCCGTATGTTCACCCCGCGCTCTAGCCTACTGAGCTATGTAGACGGTGATGACAACAACAACAACGACTGGGTGGAGTACCCGGATTATTTGAATCGAAGGCGATGGTACGCTACGAACCAGATTTTACCGGACGGCAGAGTGATCATCGTCGGTGGCCGGAGGCAGTACAATTACGAATTCTACCCTAGCGATTCGAAGCTCTACTGGCTCGATTTCTTGAGGGAAACGAGAGATGGCCGCAACGAGAACAATCTTTACCCGTTCGTCCACCTCCTCCCCGATGGGAATCTGTTCATCTTCTCCAACACCAGGTCGATTCTGTTTGACTACGACGGAAACAGAGTACTTACAGAGTTTCCGGAGATTCCCGGAGGCGATCCCCGGAACTACCCGAGCTCCGGATCCTCCGTCCTCCTCCCGCTGGTGGAGAACGCGACGGCGCCGAGCTCAATCGAGGTCGTCGAAGTCATGGTCTGCGGCGGCGCTCCGCAAGGAGCGGTTCGATCGGCTCGGGCGGGGGAATTCGCGAGAGCAATTTCATCTTGCGGCAGGCTCAGAGTGTCCGATCGGAACCCTAATTGGGAGATGGAGACCATGCCATTGGAGCGAGTGATGGGAGATATGCTGCTCCTCCCGACCGGCGACGTGATCGTAATCAACGGCGCTGGCAGAGGAACCGCCGGTTGGGAGAACGGCCGTGAGCCGGTGACCACCCCTGTGATTTACCGCCCCTCTGCCCCCCAGATCTGGCGATTCTCCGTCATGGCGGCATCTCCGACCGCGCGGATGTACCATTCGTCGGCGATTCTTCTCGGAGACGGCCGAATTCTCGTCGGAGGGAGCAATCCTCACGTTTTCTACAACTTCACCGGCGTCCTGTACCCGACGGAGCTGAAATTGGACGCGTTCTCCCCGCCGTACCTTTCGCCGGCGTACGATCCCGTGCGGCCGAGGATTGTTGGCGTGAGGGCGGCGGCGGCGGTGAGGGGATACGGGGAGGAGATCCGGGTGAGTTTCTGCGTGACTCGGTACTTGACTCGGAGCGCGGTGTCGGTTAGGATCGTGGCGCCGTCCTTCACGACTCATTCCTTCGCCATGAATCAGAGGATGGTCGTGTTGAGGATTGTCGACGTGAAACAGAAGGCGTCGGATATGTATACCGTGACGGTTGTTGGGCCGTCGACGGCGGAGATCGCGCCTCCGGGGTATTATATGATGTTTGTGGTGCACGCTGGGATTCCTAGTTCCTGCATTTGGATAAAGTTACAGCCGCGGTAGACGAAGAGGCTATGCTATGCTACGTGGAAAAAATCTAACATATTGGATATTACTCAAATCCAACTTATTAATTGTGTATGAGCCATTTTAATTTTCGGTCGTATTTATACTCAATTTGTTAGTTTGGGTTTAAATTGGACTCGCGTAGTATTGAATATCTAAAAGGAAATGGATAACTGATTCTAAAGCAATTTTTTTACCTTCAATTTTAGGCATCCCGAATATCGGAGTTCAGATAGACCCATTTGAATAGGAGCTAAATAAGTTCGCTCAAATTAAACATAATTTAAAACCAAACCCAAAACTACTAAACGTTTATATGAATTCGACCCAATACTCATATAGATTATAACAATTAAAGCAAATACGCAACAATCTACTTCTTGCCATTCCTAATTTTACCAAACATAAAGGACCACATTTGTTAATTCACAATGTTAAAAGATAAGGTGATATACTGCTAGTACCCCCTTCATTTTTTTTTTGGAAATATTACGAATTATATAAATAATTTATGAATTACAAGCTCGATTGAAAATAAGGTTTCCGATGCGCGTTTAATATGACCCATAGCAACACACATTAAAAGGTAGGGATATAGTTGGAACAAAAAAAAAACTCCAACAATCTCGACCAAACATTCTCAACAATTTCATCCAAAATTTGAGATTAAACTATGACTCATTTTGAGTGATAGTTTGTGTCACATCAAGCAAACAATGCATGTAATGTTTGTGCAGAAAATTCAAAAAACAATGTATTATGCACAATGCATGTATTGTAACTGTTTAAACCAACCCATCACCAAGCTAAACGAATCCTAATTTCTCCCCGAAAAATAAAGAGAAATTGCTTGAAATCGAATCAGATTGCACCTTTGTGTGCGAAGAAGAATACACCATTATTAAAGCAAGTATTCCACAAAAATAAATATAAGCAAAATTACATATTTACACCTATAAACCTCACGCAGGCACCAAACTGGGGATACGAGTATGTACATTGTAATTTTATAACCTCAATTTGGCCAAGTTATGGAAAAGGAAATTGACGAATAAAATTCGCTTTAGTCCCTTAATTTAATTAAATTTTGTCATGAATGATGCCCCAAAACCCCAAAACTAAATATTTTTTATTTTATAAAATCCCAATACTAAATTGGAAGAAACATTAGGTTGAGTTTGGAAGGAATACTATACGTGAGGAAAAGGTCAATTTGAACGTTTAGCCCTTCACTCGCTGTTATTTTATTAATTGGAAATTAAGTGCTGGTCCATAGTCAAACATCTTCACAATTGTCATCTGCGTGTAATTTTTTTATTTTTTTTATCACCAGAAAGAACAATAAAATGTGAGATTTAATTGCCAAATAACTAAGGTATCCAGTTTACAAAAAAAAAAAAAGGCGTTTGATTGGATGTCCATTTTAATTTTGTGAGGTGGAAATATGTGAAGATCAAAATGAGAAGATTATGGGTTGGAGTATCTGTAGACGTTATGTTAAGAACATATCGGAATTATGATAATGCGAAAGAGTAAAGACACATACATTTTTACGTGGCTTACTAACACAATGTGTGTTAGTTAGTCTATGATGAGGAAAGATTCAGTTTAACTATACTTGAGGAGATTATAAGTCAGCGAGACCCCGTGAATTTTCAATCGACGACAGATAATCCGATTCAAGTCATATCAACATGCTACTTTTTCACATCGACAAAGTGATAAGCCCATTTAAAGAGATTTTACGAGAGTCGGAACGTGTCGTGTTTGATGAATTTCCCTAGAATATATATATATATATATATATATATATATATATATATATATATGTGGCATACATTTTGCCACTGTAGTTTTAGATAACACTACTTAATCTACCTATGTCACTTTCTTGTGTCCTATTTTTTTTCTTTGCCACTTAAAATTTTAGGAACTAGAATATGAAGAAAAAAGAAACCAAAATGAGCTAAGCATCCACCTTAGGTTGATGATCAAACTTTAAACCAAGATCAATTAATTGAACTAATTAATCAATCCATTATAATAAAGTATTTTCTCGTTCCCTTTTAGTTTAAGCCTCATCGCTACACTAAACAATTAATTTCCCAAACATAATCAGAACCAGAACTTAGCTTATCAGCGCACTATAAAAAGGGAATAGATTTGCATTACCATAAAACCAACGCCACGGCTTTATAAAAGCTAAAGACAATAGAAAATCCCAAAACCCAGCCAAGAAACCGCTCTTCCGCCGCCGTCTGAGTAACATTAGCACCGCCGTCGGACGTTTCCCGGCCGGCATTCCTTACATCGCTGATCTTCTTCCACTCTTCACACATTTCCCGCCGGGCAAGCCTCGAGAACTAACCCTTTTTTCTTTATTTTCTCTCCCATTTGCTACATTAGTTTTTTTCCCCCCTGTTATTTTTTGGCTTCTTGCGTGCACTTAACTGTAATTTCAGCCTCACGCTCCGATTATTTAATTATTTGTTTGAACTTGCTGCGTATTGGTTTCGGTTTCCTCCTCCTTCCTGAGTTTTTTTTCTTCTACTGGCTTCTCTTTTTTTTTTCTCAACCAACAATCTTTGGCTGAAACCGGCGAGAGCGAGGGTTTTTATTGGGAGCTCTGAATTTTTTTCTCTCCGTCGCGCCATTTTTCCGGTAAATTACCCAGTTAGGCGCCTGTTTCTGTTTGTTTCCTGGGAAAAAAAGTTTGGGATTCCCTCCCTTTTACGTAAGAGAGGGTTCCCAGTTTTTATCTCAGTCTGTAGTTGATGAGACTTGAGACGCCGTGAAAAGTTCCCTCCCTTCGTTTTTGGTTTTGTTGTTTGGAAAATGGTGATAATGGGCTACGTAGATTGCTGTACTTGACTGAGCTGAAATTTTGGCATGCAGAGTTGTGTGATTAGTATATGATGTTTCTATGATCATTGCAAAAAGTGGGGTTTTGTGTTTTTGGGCTTCTAATTGAATGCACGTTAATGGTTTGATTGGTGGGCGACCAACTATTTGCTGTAGAGCTACGAGAGTTGGACTCATTTTCCAGCAATTTTTGAGCTTTTTGTTGGTTTTGGTTGAATCCCAAATGTGATTGATTGACTGGTTGTTTATGCAGAGGCTGGAGCCGGATAAGAAGAAGATAATCTATGGAGGGAGACGCAGGAAGAGATTTGGGATGCCAGAAGATTATGGATGGGAAGGAGAGTAATGGACACAATGGTTCACAGAAACCCATTACTACTGTTCCTGCTTGCTGTCTAAAGGCCAGGGCTTCTTCAGCAGCTGCTGAGCTTGATGCGAAATGCCACTCTACTGTTGTTTCTGGGTGGTTCTCAGAATCTCAATCCTGCTCTGGTTAATATCCTTTGATTTCTTCTTCCTCCTCCTCCTTCTGCTCAGCTGGTTGATTTGGTGAAAATGGCTACTCATAGCTTTCCTTGTGTTGTCATTTTGTTCACAGGCAAAGATGGGAGAAAGGTTGTTTACTTTAACAACCCTATGTGGCCTGGTAAGTGATTCCAGAGTTGCCATATCACTAGCTGTTTGTATGAGAGCTTGGTCTCTTATAATTTTTTTAGGTAGGACCTTGAACTGATTTTTCAATGAAAGGTTTAAGATTCAGTTTTAAGCCCTTCACAATAACTTGAGTTATTGGCATGAATTGGTTTTCGAGTTCCAGGTCTTTTCGTGTATTGTTTTTTAAGTTGTGATGATCCCTAATATTAAAGGTTGGTTTCAGCATATGGCACGATGTACATGTGCAAACTTCAGTATAAAGTTCTCTTGGGTCTTGCCTTGTAATCCTTTCGCAGCCCTAACAGTAACTTAGAGATGGTATGCTCCTTCAAACAAGGACACTAGTCATATTCTCGTGTACCGTAGTCAAGGAATTTGGTCATTGTATATATCTTGGGAAGAAACCAATTTATTTCTTGTCGTTAGTTGCCTCGCCGTTCACAGAACCTCTTGCTTCTGATGGGTTTCTTTTCCAATCCTCTTTAGTTGATTGATCAGTTTCTGAATGTATGCAGGAGAAGCACACTCACTGGAAGTGGAGGAAATTCTCTATGAGGGGAAGTCAGACTACCAGGAGGTTTTGGTCTTTCAGGTTGCCATCCTTAAGTTCTCTGCATATGCGTTTGGTTGTTTCATTAATGTCTCCTAATGAGAGTTTCTCATTATCTCAACCCCTTTCTTATGACAGTCATCATCCTATGGAAAAGTTCTTGTACTCGATGGCATCGTTCAGTTGACCGAGAAAGACGAATGTGCATACCAGGAAATGATAGCTCATCTCCCACTCTGCTCAATTCCATCCCCAAAAGCTGTGAGTTTTAATTTGGATCTTCACAATTTCACTTTCCTTTTTCAGATTGTTTGTCCTGATTAATCGGGGTATCATCGTAGGTCCTTGTAGTTGGCGGTGGCGATGGAGGTGTCCTCAGGGAAATCTCTCGCCACACATCAGTGGAGACCATCGACATATGTGAAATAGATAAGATGGTCATAGATGTAAGTCCCGTTCCTTGTTTATGTGTCTTTAGACTTGCCTGCAGTTATTTGTCTCATAATACAGTCTTGCTGATATTCTAGGTAAGTAAGAAGTTCTTCCCTCAATTATCCATTGGATTTGAGGACCCTCGTGTTCACCTCCACGTCGGTGATGGTATGCTCTCTAACTTACCCCCATTTTGCTAGACATTTTCTTTGGTGCTTTCAGTGCAGGATGCTCGGTATCAAATGATAATATTACCTCTTTGATCTTAAACAGCTGTGGAGTTCCTCCAGCGTACTGCTAAAGGGAAGTATGATGCAATAATTGTTGATTCTTCGGACCCTGTAGGTACGTGTGCTCTATAGTATTTGAACTCCGCAATTCTGGTAATACCAAGCCCTTAACAGTCGAGAAATGTACATTTACCATACAAGAGGTGCTAGAGTATTATTCGCTGCTAGTTTTTGTTTGATGAATCACTGCATGATGTCAAGTTTCGCTCAATCGTTCTATTTCCCATATCAGGCCCTGCCCAAGAGCTCGTCGAGAAGCCATTCTTCGAGACCATAGCGAGAGCGCTGAGGCCCGGTGGAGTCCTCTGCAACATGGCCGAGAGCATGTGGCTCCATACGCATCTCATCGAGGACATGATCTCCATCTGTCGTGAGACTTTCAAGGGCTCTGTTCACTACGCCTGGGCCAGTGTGCCAACGTACCCGAGGTAGATGCAAGCACACAAGATTGTGCTTTTCTTTGCCTAGTATTCTTCGACTAGGAAAATGCTTTAGTTTTGATCGTCGCTGCTGTTCTCGAATCTGGAAATTGTGCAGTGGGGTGATTGGATTCTTGTTGTGCTCCACGGAGGGCCCTGCTGTGGATTTCTTGAACCCTGTTAACCCAATTGAGGAGGTGGAAGGAGTATGGAAAGACAAGAGGGAACTTAGATTCTATAACTCCGAGGTAAGCTACCTGCTGATGTTTGATCACGTTTCCTACTCTGTTGCATAAGTACATACAGACAGACATGTAGAAGTGCTAAAGATTTAAGTTTTTGTTTGGGAAAAACAGATGCACAGAGCTGCCTTTGCACTGCCCAACTTCTTGAAAAGGGAGGTGAGCCTGCTTCGAGGCGCCCCAGCTCCTTTCCTAGTCCGAGGGCAGCGAATGTGATGCCACCTGCCGTCGTGTCGTGTCTTGTCGTGCTCGTTTCAGTCCCACGGTGTTCTTATTAGTATTTGACGAGTGTAATAATGACTCTACTCTCATGGCGTATACCCCTATTTACACTGATGATTGATTGTAATATTTTGGATTGTCTTTAATTTTTTCCAGTATTGTGGATTTGATTTTCCTTGTCGAAATTGGAAAATGTCATTAAGTTATCACACTGTTGTTTTGTACGATTTTAAGGACCTTTCGAAACTCCCCTATACTTAATGGGTTAGAAGTACAAAGAAACTTGAAAGAAATGAAGTCTCTTGGCAATTTTAGGAAAGAAAAGAGTGTATGTACTCTTTAGGAGAAAGTGAACATGTTTGCTTACCAGAGCATTACAAGCAAATCATAAGAAACCATCCGATCATGAAGAACATCAACCTTTGGTGTAGCAAGGCATGGCAACGGAGTACTACTGGCCACTTACCAGAAACTGCAAGTCTCTGACATTCTTAAGATGACGATGCTGAAGACTTGGTGAGTCGATTACAATGGGACAAAACTGATCACCGCGATGGCGAGAAACCTTCAAGTTCTTCAAACACGGCGAGGAAGCAATGAATCTGTCTTTCATCAGGCAGTAGCTGAGAGTGAAGAAACTTAGTTGACGAGGAAGAAGCTTTCAATTAATCTTATAATTTATAGATGTTTATCTTTAATTTTGAACAATTTGTATTGATCATTTGCGGTTTACTTGTATAGTTGTATGCTCTAGATTGTTGTTTTTTGTATGAGAAAATTGATGTTAAACTTTTATTTTGAAAGAAACTTGTTATTGTAAAATTTTTACCACAAAAACCCACGGGTACCCATGAACCCGCGGATATCCAGCAGGTTGGGTAGGGTTTGAGTTTTTCAAACCCAACGAGTTTTAACCCGGATTTTTTTGGCGGATAAACCCATGAGTTTGGGTTTGACAAAACTCGCTCCAACCGACCCATTGACATCCCTATCTACATCATAGTTCCTCAGCCGACTGAACTTCATCGTCACCAAAACCCGGCTCTGCCGGCTTTTGCACCGACACAGGCGGCAAAGGAACCGTTTCCTTGAGATTGGAGTCGCCGGTCAGAAGCCGTAGTGCATTGGCAGCAAACCGCGAGGCGTATATGGTGGCGCCAAGGCTAGGCGGCTGCTGCCCGACGGAGGTCGATGCATCTCCCAACCTGTCCTCTTTCGGCTTCAGCGCGTCAGCAAGTTTCTTCTTTCTGAACCTTCGCCAAGCAGCTTGTATGAAACAAGCTGCCCAAGTCCTCCACTGATGTGAGTAGAACCTGAACATGTGGCGGAGCTTGTTGGCATTAACCCAACGGAACTTGGAAGCCACGAACTTCAAGTCGTCTGCTGTGAGTGCAAAAGCCTCGACTTGCGTGATGGTTTGGACCGTCGTGGTTGATATGGGAAGGTCTGCAGAGGAAGAGCGGTTCCCTAGAGCCCAACTGAGAAGCTCCTCGCAGCAGAAATCACCAGCTTGGAGGTAATCCAAGTTGTAGAAACCAGTCCTTCCGCCGTATGTGGCAGAGGTCTGCAGTCTGCCCCTCATGATGAAGAGCATCTCGTTGACTCGATCTCCCTCGCGAACAATGTAGCTCTCCTCCGTGTAGAGTGCAGGCTTGACGAGTTCACACATTGCATCTAGTTGCTCATCGTCCAATATCGAGAATATTGGCACCTTCAAAGAGCACAAAATGAGGATTAAAATCGGATCGAAATTTCCTGCACGAACAAGGGAATGGCCAGGGTGGGGAGGAACTTACTCTCCTGAGAAGATGCAACCAGAGATGACGGGTGAAGTCTCTCCTCAGGTCTCTGGGAAGACTCTGTAGCACATTGTGGATGTCGACACCCTGATCCCTCTGCCATCTGAACTCTTCGTGTCGCTTTAGGCGGCTCTTCAATTCCTCGGGGATAAAATGGGACGCCATCCATCTTTCCACACCTTCCCATTTCATTCTCATCTCCTCCATTCTAATGGTTGATGCTAGCATTCTTGTCTGCATAGATAATATGATTTATCCTCCCAGTCACAGACAGATTTTCACCGCGAGATCAGAAACTGAGAAACGGAAACGATCTAGGACCTGCAATCACTCTACCTGGATGATACCGATGACTAGCGAAAACAACAACAACCCAGCAACGAAAATGCATATTGCAAAACATATCTCGAAATTATTGCTGCTGGGCTTAATGTTCTGTCCCAGAGTGCTGCAACCACAACATCAAACAAACAGATAAGTCACAAACTTCGAATCGATTTGGTTTTCCGGTGTTTATGAGTTACGAATTCAATGGACTATTTGATCATGGCATAAGATCTGAAAAGCTATTGGTGACTATCTACTGCAAGTGGACCGACCTCAGACTTTGGAGAGCCCACCAGAAACTGTACAGCAACTTGTCGCTGAAATGTGTCGACTCCAACACGCCAGAGCTAATAGCATCAGCATACATCCCATAATTGAAATCCGATCCTCCTCCTCGGGGGCAACTCTGATTCAGAAACGACGTGTAGTTCATCGATCTATCCTTCCCGCAAGTCAGCATTGCTTCGTAATCGCATCCAGGACGACTTCGACAGGCTGCTCGCCAGCAACCCATTTCTCGTCGAATAGCCAATGAGTACCAGAATGCTCCCACAACCTACATTGACAAGGAAATTACTGAGCCTCAAACTTCCCCATTCCCTATCAACCCTTGGTTAATCTTGTGGAGAACGTAGTATTCTCACATGGGCAGCATTGACGTAAAGGAAGACTGTAACCCAAATCCTAGCAACTGCAGCTTTTCTCACTGCATAGGAAGTGCTTATCGCTTTCTGACTGAGTTGGTAGAACCTGAACAGTCGAGGTACAAACTGAGAAGCTATCAATGGTTGCAAAACAGCAATGGCGGTCAACAGTCTGGATCCTCTGGTCTTCCCCGAAATCCAAGCTGCAACGACGATCACCTGCAGAGCCCACCACAACAAGAAAGCATCGGTCATCCTCGCTGCCGTCATAGTTAGGCGCTGCCAAGAAGACAGGCGGTGGCTGAGCCGTCAGGCACAGAGAGTGAGTGACAGTCTGGCAGCCATCTTCTGATGATAATCAATGAGGAATAGAATACTTATTTATGAACTGGATTTCTTAACTCTTCTGATACGATAGTGATATGATTGTATCGGAATGATATAATTCATATTAAGGTGGTATACCACGTGTTTATAGCTGATTATATTTCGAAACAAATCAAATCATGTTTAGGAAATTTCCTATGAACATGTTTTCCGGGCGAGAAAATCTAGATGAAGAGAATTGGATTTTTGCACTTTTTGACTTCCAAGCAAACGATTAACAAACACGATCCACACCTTTTTGTGTGGATTGTTGAAACTAGAGCAGTTACAAGTATTGAGAATTTTTAATGGACAACAGTATATATCTGCCTATATGTGTATAAGTTCATAGTTTAGGATTCGTACCCATGATTATCCGAATACCCGTGGTTACCAGGTGGGTAGAGTGTGGTTATATAATTTTCATACCCAGTGGTTATTTGGTCGGGTATTTTAGAAAGCTCTACCCGACGGGTTATTTGGTCGAGTATTTTAGAAAGATCTACCCGGCGAATTAAGAGTTGGTATAGAGTAAACCCGCACCCGAACCTACCCATTGCCATCTCTATCAACAATCAACGAAAACAATGTGGGCTAGGGCTACTGTTGCTGAGTCGCCATCTTTGACCGGCGAAACAAAGGCTGAGACAGCATCCCTTGTCTAGTCTAGTCTAGTCTACTCTACTCTACTCTACTCCAACGAAAACCCAAAACGAGAATTTGAGGTACAGCAAAAATTAGGCCAAGATGATGAATTGGATGCTCTAATTACTAACTTGCTAACCTTCGGACTACTTGTTGTTAATCATCAATTAAGTTCCAGAAAGGAAAGAGAGACCTGACCTGCGGCAGCGGGAGGACGGAGAGCAAATCGACGATGAAATACGAAGACAAGTATCTCCTCGCTATCGCCGACGCGTCCATCACCAGCTCGCCGGCACCGAACACTCTAGAGGAAGGCGCCGGGAACCCGGTCCTGAACCGGAAGAAGATCCGAATCAAGTGGAAAGCATCGGCGACGGAGCGCAGCACCGTGGCAGTAATCACCAGGTTGCCGTCGAACCGAATGACGCATCCGTGGCGGCTGTTGATTCGCGGGATGTAGAGAAACAGGGGATCCAGGAACAGAGCAACCGCGGTTAGCGCCAAGAAGATGGCGTCCCACCTTCGGACAACCCGTTCCAACGGATGGAAAATCCTGCATTTTATCCAAAAAGCTGTGAAGTTGATGACTTGATTGAATTCTCCTTCGCTAATCGAAAAGGGAGAGAGGGAAGGAGAAGAAAAACCTCATTTCTTGGGGGAGTTATTGGATAAGGAAAGGAAGGAAATGTTGTAAGCTCGATGGCAGAGAAAGGAAGAGTAAAGGTGTTTTGAGTGTTAATTAGATGGGTCGCGGACTTCTGCTGTTGAAGTCAACTTTAGGCACCATTTTGATAAAGATCAAATACGAATGACTGGTTTGTTAGTAAACTAAATGTAAGTGACCAAACTTGTAATTTTTCAGGGGTGTCACTTCGAGCAAATTTGTAACCAATCTTGGTGGCGGGAATTGTACTCGTCCCAAGCTCAACGGGCGGTGGTCCTTTCTCCTTTTCCCGCCGGCGTCATCTTCCATTCAATCCGATCATTTGCCTACCGTCCGCCATGGCGGACCGCACAAATCTGAATCGTCGAATCCGATAAGAAGCCGACCCTCCTCCTTCCATGATCCGCAAGCTTGGAGACGATCTCCTGGTAGAGATTCTGATTCGCCTCCCGAACCCTAGATCCGCCTTCCGCTGCAAACTGGTCTGCAGGCGTTGGAGTTCCCTAATCTCCCATCAATCCTTCAATCGCAGTTTCATTTCCCACCACGGGAGCATGAAGGAACCGCGACCTCTGCTTATCCACTCCAACGACGCGAGCGACCTGACGAGCTTTATGCCGCCCATGCCAATCACAGCTCGAGTCGGTTTCCGAGTCTTGGATTGCTTCAAGGATCTGTTCTTATGCGGGTATGGGGATTCAGATAATGATAACTCTGAACTTGGCAGGACGTACGTGGTCTGCAATCCGTTTACGAAGCAGTGGATGGCCCTCCCCGTAGCGCCTGCAAAGGAGGGTTACGAAGCGCCGGTTTGAAGGTTAGTTTGTGAACCCTGCATTTCTAGTAATCTTGATCTAGGAGATGGCGAACCGGCATATGTTTACTCCGAGTATCGGTTTCGAGTGGTGTGTATCTATCAACATAAGGCCTCTATCAAATTGGACGTGTTTTGCTCGGAGTCTGGGAAATGGACGAACCAGGCTCGTGCTTTTCATGGTTGTCGCAAACTCCCAGACCATAATGTGGTTTCGTTGAACGGGGAGTTGCTTTGGTTTTATGTAGATGCCTACGTTCGTTCTTCTCTCGTTGCCCTGAATATTTTCCCCCTCGATCTACCTCCCACTTATATAGGTGAGTTCTATGACAAGCCGCGGGGAGATATCTCGGTCTGACAAGGCGCTCTGCACATAATTGCACTAGAAGGGGCAACTATACCTACTCGTGTGAGCGTTTGGAGA